AAAATGTGTGTTCCTTCGTTTAGAGAATATTTGAATATATTACTCATATGAGGAGGCATGTTTTAGTGCCCACCCATATGGTTAGATGTGGTTTCTTTCCACTATGAATCCACACAAGGGTTTTGAATTTCGGATAGACCTTTTGGTCAAAATGGCCTAGTTTGGCAATCAAGTCTCTAGATAAATTTTGATGGCAAATTAAAATGATGCCTAAATCAAGTGGAAAGTGCTTGTTTTATAGTTACCCTAACATTGGAATTTTGTATTGAAAATTGGTTTTGACCAATTTTAATCGATTATTAAATGGAAATCATTATATGGTGAATGGGAAATTGAGCCAAATTTTAATTGCTTAAATGCATGAATTGTTGGAAAATCATATAGAATATTATGAAATATTCTAAAAAATATTTGGATGGAAAGGTGTATATTTCCATATGAAAGATCATGACTTTTGGTATGATTATTTTTCAACGGGTGTCTCTCTTCATGTATATAGATAAATTTCAAGAGGCGTATCCTTTTGTAGGACTGTGTCTTCTGAGAAACAACTTTCCAGTCTATGTTTGATTCATTCATTCAAGTTAGAATACGGTGAATAGGTACCTTATTATTTGACATGAAATAATACTATCTCAAGAAAATGTCACAAATTTGATAAGTTCCATATGTTTTGAGAAGTTTAGATTCTTATGAATCAAGATGTTTAGCCCTCTTCATTGGTGTACTATACTACATTAAGATGTGTATAGTTATGTGCAATTAACACAACTTATTGACTTCGATCGTCGAACCAATTATGTTGATATATGCTTTGAAAGTATTGTTGGTCCTTGTGATGACCTTGATAAAAAATGTGTGATCTAAATTAAAGAGAGTTTGATTGAAGTACAAAAGTATGAATTGATGACCACTAAATTGAACATACTTAGACTTTCACATAGCATTATTTATTTGATGGATGTATTGGACTTTGAAAGAATTGATGAACTCTAAGTTCAAGTATTACCCAAGAATGTATGGGATTAAGCATTAATACTTATTTTATATGTATTCCTAATTAAGGAATTGTGGGGCTAACTTATTCTACAAGTTAAATTATCCATACCTTACAAATCATAGAAGAATGTATATAAAGTAAAAATGTAGAAAGCCCATATACTAATTTAGAAGTTTAATAACGGTTCATAACGTGATGTACACTAAGTCTAAAGTCGATAAAATGGGACGAAAGTCGATTATTACGTTTGTTCAAATATACAAGAACAATTGGAATATTTGATGAATATTCATAAAATTGAAATGCATTGTAATAGTTCAATATTGAAAATTGAATACCCATGTATGAAATTCACTAGTAAAAGTGATTGACCAGCTTAATGATTTGATAAAAATCCTCCAACCGTGTTTGGAAATTGACAAAATTTTAGATAAAGTTAGTGAGAAGCGTGTAGCTTCATAAGATGATTTCTTAGTTGGTGACAATTTGTATCTATTAAATGAATTGATTGTTGGCTAGCTATATTTAGGGATGACAAAAAAGCTCGCTAGCTCGGGCGGCTAGGGCTCGGCTCGGTTACACCAAGCCAAGGCTCGGACCGAGCCTCATTTTTTTGGCCGGGCTTTACTCGGTTCGAGCCCAAGTTTTTTTATTTGATTTCTCGTACATATAAACCGTACAAATTTTAAATTTTTAAGTAAAAATGTAGATCCATTTTATGCCACATTATTTTTCTCATTCTCATTCTTCTACTCATTTTCATCCACACATTATTTAATAAAATAATATTTTTTCATCACATCAATAATTTTTCCTTCTTTTTCAACCACATATTCTCCATCACATCTCTTCAAAAAAAATATATTCTCTCATTTTAATATGTACCAAACACACTCTATATATATTTATCATGAGATCAAGTATACTGTATATCGAGGGGAATGAAATTAAAACCTACTACGTAAGAGTTTTTATAATGGTAACATAAACTTATTGACTGGAGATCCAATATCTTAGTTCAATGGGACAACTAATTTACAAAGATTCTATGAAGTACTTAGGAAATAATTCCTACTCATTCCTATAATAATCAAACTACTTTCAGCAAAATATAAAAATGTTAAGTTACTTTTTTAATGATTCCTATATCTTGATTAAGTCAAGTGGAGTAAGGTATAATACTCATAATAGAAGATCACCTATGTAAGTGTGAAGTGACACAGCTTCGATGAGAATTGTTTGAAGCTAAAATTGTCTAAACACTTGCGAAACCCAATAGTGTTTCATGGCTAAAATGAACATAATGATGAGAACCATGAACGGTTCATGGAAGATATTGTGTGAGTACTGTTGTCTTAATTTACACCAACGACTGAATGATTCAATATATCGCCTTCACCAATTAGCTAAGTAAATCTGACAGTATTTCACTAAGGAAGGTTTAAAGGCAGAAGCTACCTCTTCTGATGCAATATTTTTCCTCTTTCTCTCTACTAGTATCTACATTATCATTTGCGTATGTGGAATTTTCATTTATGTAGGGGATTGTTAGAATTTGATTTAATAAATGAAATTTTGGTTTAAGAATAAAATTTGAAATGTGACTTTGTGTCAATTACGAAAATAAATAAACTAACTTGTTCTAATCGTCGAGTAGATCGTTGTAATATATTTGGAATCTAAAAAATAAAATATAGATGAATGAGAAATTATGGTCCAAAATTTGAAGGAAAAATCAAAATCCAGCATGCAAGATCGTCGCTCTGTCGCCAATGTTAGGCGAGCAATAGCTCGCTGCATTGTGTCGCTTGAACGCCACCTTCATCGGTAAGCCATGATGGAGCATGTTGCATTCCTTCACGAAAAATGCTGATTTTTGGGGCTTGTCTCTCACACCACACCCTTCACATTCTATATAAAGGACCATAGGACTTTTATTATTCATTCAATTCCATATTTATACTTTGATTTTCGTAAAAGTACTTTGTAGAAGTGATTCCTTTTTGTATCAAAGTCATGTTGATGGCAGAGAGGAAACTCCGTCTGAGTTCATTGGTCTAAGTTATTTGGAGTGCTCCTATGGCTAAACGTGGTTGTTGTATCTTAGAAAATGATTTTCGAAAACATTAGCACTGTTTTTTAGAAAAAGATTCATGCACATACCATCAAGGACATTTTTGACATTGGGTATACATTAATACATAATAATTACATAAAGGATGGTGTGTATTTATTTTCCAGTAAATTGTGCATATTTAACAGCTAAACTGAAATGATATTTCAATTTCAACAGAAACCTCGGACATGTATCACAGAGTTAATCAAAGTACAAGGATCCAATCACATAATATGCTGGCACAACCCTAATCTTTGACATCAAGACAAAATTTCACGAATACAAATGAATTTATAATAAGTTACAGAAACAGTGATGTGTGTTTATTTCTCCAGTGAGAAAAACACATATTTAACAGTTCAATAAAAGAGATTTTTCAATTTCCACGTATCCACGAACATGTATCATAGAGTTACTCAAAATACGAGGGTATGACCACGTTAGATCCTGGGCCACAAATCTGATCACTAAAGAAAACCTAGCCGCTTGTCCTAAATTGAGTATGAGTGTCTTAAGAAGTACAAAAGTTTGTCTCAAATACAGAAATAACTGTGGCTCTTCTACACGAGCTAGAATGAAGTTTGAACATCAAATTGGAGACTGAAACTTGATCTTCTGAATGGTAATGGTCAACATTACCTAAATTGACTTACAAAAAATGTAGGGTCACTGATTCACATTCGATCTTTGGCAGCTTCCAAAATTCTGGGTGGTACAGTATTTAATCCAAATTGAGCAAACCTACAATTATTACTGAATTGCTATTTCATTTTTCTAATCACTTACCATATTCTAACTTGAGGATAAAATAGAAATAATAAAGCAACCAGGCATTTGAAATAAAAGAAAACAGAATATAATGGCATGTAAAGACCACACTTATTTCTGCATATTGTTCTTCGATCTCATGACACAGTTTCATGACATACTCGCCATTGACATCAATGTTGTTCAAAGCTGTAGCAATCTCAGTTCTGCACCCCAACGCCTCTCAAAAATAGCTTTTCTCCTTGGTTTAGCGCTCTCATCTATTGTTGCAGTGCCTCGTTATATTTACCCCCAATAAACTTGATGCGTTACTCAAAACATCAATCACCGAGTTGATATTTGAAGTAGAAATTGCCCTCCTACAACAACTTTGCAACACATAAAACACGTCATCTACCATGGATGTTGTGAGACTATCAGGCACATGCTCATCGATTTTGATGGCTTTCCTCACATTTTTCACCATAAAATATCCTTCCAAAAGTACATAGTAACCAGTAACTCTGAGCAACTTCACTGAAATTCCCACTCCTAAAAGCCTTTCTCGAGGACCCAATTCTGGATCCAGAGGTCAAGCCCCTTATTTTGGAAACCATGTACTCAGTGTAATCCTCATTCCTCGGCCAACTGCGTCAAAGACAGTACTCAGTGTAATCCTCATTCCTCGGCCAACTGCGTCAAAGACAGTATCTCTTCTAGATACATCTCAACCTCTCTAGGGTCAGGCCTTCTGCCCCGCTGAGAGCAAATTGCTCTTATATGAATTAATATCAGAAGTTAATTTTGCTGACTTCCTGTACTCCCATGTATTTTTTTTAAAATGATAGATCCCCATGAATCACATTCCTCGTGAACCTCACAAATTCCTCAAAATCTCATTACTGTCTTCTACAGCCAAGACAATGTCTTTGAAAAACTTCGTCAAACAAGCCACAAAGTTCACCTTAATATTGTTTGATTGCTCCATCAATTCCACCAATTTCTCAAATTCAATACATGATCTCATGGAAAGAACCTTTTTCAAATAATTATAATACACGTGTAAGCCTTCTTCTTTGAGGCCAAGTGGAGTGCAAAGCTTGATGAAGTGGAGAATGGTAGGATGATCCCGCTGGTCTACAGCAGCCGAGAGCATCTTCTTGGCAATGCCTTCCAATTGCTTCTTGTAGGAGAGGAGTTGCTCCCGCTGATCAGATGCAGACGCTTGGCGTCAATTTGGAGGAAGGTCTGGATGTAAGATGCAGCCGACTCGAAATCCTCCGATTGAAGTAGCTTCCGAACACCGTCAAGACAACTCGAGCTGTCGACGATAGCATCGATACGTAGAAGAGTGTCGTTGACGCGAGATTGGGCAAGATCGAGGTGGTGCACTTTGGCAGATACCTGTTCGCGAGGGAGGAGGTGAAGCCGACATTGGAGAGCATGTAGGCAGAATCAGCTTTGACAATATCAAGAACCTCCGCGGATTTGTGGAGGCCAGAGAGTTGGCGGTCCAAATCGGAGCGCTAGGAGAGAATGGTCTCGAGCTCGAGATCTAGGGCTCTGCCGTGCCGAATTGCACCGCTGCTGAATTGACAGCGACAGCATTGGTGGAGGTGTCATCGTCCGGTTCCGGCTTTGGTGTCTCTAGCATTGGTATGTGAGAGACAGATCTGCCGTTGCAGAGAGAGATTGAGAACTTCGATTAAAAAAATTTAAGTAAATAATTATTTCAACCCCTGTTTCAGAACCATTATTTCAAAGCGCTTAAATTTTCTTACTCAATCTTTAAAGAGGAGTCCCCATGCCTTATCTGGATGTTTCTAAAATGATCGTTTATCAATTGGAAAATTCTGGTGCTCCTCATTTTCTTCCATGGAAACGGCATGGTGCGAATGACAGATGAATTATCCAAGATTTCAAATAAATTAATAACAAAATCTGAAATGGGTTAAATTTCTGTGCTATCAAATAAGGGATTTTTGTGTAAACCCCATACAATGTGGGAAATTTTGCAGGCTTTTCATTAAAAAATTTATGGGGAAATTTAAGCAATCAGAGGACAGTATGGATTGTTTTAACATCCATTTGTGCACATTTTGAAAGTAAGAATATATTTTTATTGTTGATGTGATGAGGAATATGTGGTTGAAAAATAAGGAAAAATTATTAATGCGATGAAAAACATTATTTTATTGAAGAATGTGTAATTGAAAATAAGTAGAAAAATGTAAATGAAAAAAAAAATGTGGACCAAACAGGGTGGAACCTTGCAACTTTTACATCAAAATTTACAATTTTACGTAATTTCACGTGACATTTTACATTTATTAGTTTAAAATAGAATTAACATTTTTATTCAATATTTTCCATTCACATCGTATTATGGCTCTATTTGAGCCACATTATTTTTTTATTCTCATTTTTCTAATCAATTTTTAACTACACATTTTTCAATAAAATAATATTTTCTATCACATCAATAATTTTTTTTTTTTCAACAACATATTTCTCATCACATCAATCGTAAAAATACATTTTTTTTTTCAAAAATGTGCACCAAATGGGGGCTAAGTAATCAATTATATACATTTTTTATGTACAAATATTTCTACGAATACACATTTTGAAGGTAAAAATGCATTTTTACAATTATACGTATGGCTATTTGAAAAATAACAAAAAAATAACAATTTAGATGATGTGGAAATGATTCATCAACCACATCATTTTTTTTTTAATTTTCTCATGTAATTTATTGTTGAGCTTTACAAACAGAATTCACCCTAGTTATGGATGTTAGGTAACTATTTTTTTTTTGTGAGCAAGTAGAGGTGTCAATTCGAGTGGTCCGGGTCGTGTCGGCCCGCCAACATATGAGCCCGGTTACGGGTCACGTGAAAAAAAGCCTACCCTCTAAGAGTTCCGGGTCGGCCCACAAATTTTGGATTACAACCCAGGCCCGCCCGCTGACCCATCCAGGTAGAGCCCATGCGGGTCACGATTTGTTTCGATTTGACCCGTATTATTGTATAAATAAAATTATAAAAATATAGAATTTTCATATATATAGAAAAAAAAAAATTTTTTTTTTTTTTAAATGTAAACTAAAAATTGAACAAAATGATAAATTCATATTTATACCAAAAAATGTTTACATAGNAACTAAATGTATTTCTAATTACTATTATCAAATATTTATAATATAAGTACATTCCAATTAGGTTGGCACCTACTTTTATTATAATTTATAGTTTAAGTACATTCCAATTAGGTTGACTTTCTCCCTTTTTTTTTCAAATTTAAAAAAAAAAATTCACGGGCTAGCAGGTTAACTGCAACCCGTAAAGGTGCAACCCGCGAAACCAGCAGGTCACACCTCCTTGATCCGTGAACCACCCGCTCGGATCATGGGTCAGTCCGCGGTCCCGAGTAGATACGGGCCGATTTTCACAAGTCTGGTCGGCCCATCCGTCTTGACACCTCTCTATGAGCAAGTGATAATCAATATTAAGAGTTTGTTTGAGAGAGATTTTTGGGGGAAGAATTGATTTTGAATAGTAATATGATGAGAAATGTGTGATTGAAAAAGAAAAAAAATTATTGATGTGATGAGAAAAATTATTTTATTGAAGAATGTGTGGTTGAAAATGAAAATTGATTTACTGTAGAAAAATCAAAATCCCTTCCAAACAGGACGTAAACTCAATGGCTTAATTAACTCTTTGTTTGAAAGAGATTATTTTAGGTGAAAAATTAATTATTTCGAAAAAATGAAAATTTCTCCCAAATGCACTCAAATGATATTTAGGGTTTAGCACCCACCTTCATTCTGAATCTTCATTTAACCTCCAATGTCGAGTATTTGCTTAACATCGTCATCATCTTCCTCGAGATTCTGCAAAACCAGAATCAACATTCAAAATGAACTTCCCTTGTTCTCCTCTTCTGCAATTTTCTTTCCCCTTCATCCTCAGTTCCTCGCCTTTTCTTTCTCTCGTCCTTTTCCTCACTATTTTCAGAATATCACTCAAATTTCAACATCCCCCTTCTTCTTTCTCTCCCAAAACACCAAGACTAAAACCCCCACTTCCAGTGCCTTAGCCCATTATATAAATAGGGATGAAATCTCGGACCAAGATTTTCCTGTTATGACACCACCATCATCACCATCCTGCCAACTTTACGTGTGTAATCTTCCCAGAAGCTGTGGCATTTCGGAACTTCTCGATATTTTCAAACCTTATGGCACCGTTCAATCGGTCGAGGTAGTTTTTAATTAATTTCTGCTATTTTTGGTACTCCAGAATTGCTGCACTTTATCTTGTAAAGCTAGTTTCTTTATTCCTGTGATTAAGGTTTCTAGGAATTCTGAAACGGGTGTTAGTCGTGGATGTGGCAATGTCGCTATGAGCTCGGTTGATGAAGCCAAGGCTGCAATTTCTGCTTTGGATGCTTCTGTGAGTGTTAGCTGTACATATCCCTTTAGTTTATGTCTTCTACAGCATTTTACAGCTTGCTTAGTTATTTTATTCTTAAGATTTTACTGCTTGCTCGTGTGTGTATGAATCAAAGGATGTAGGTGATCGTGAAATGCGGGTGATGTTTGCTGATGATATGAACAAGGAACTCCAGTCATTGGGTTCGGTACCAAGGAAAAATTTGATATTTGAAAGCCCTCACAAAATTTATGTGGGAAATCTTGCTCGGTCTGTCAACCCTTCGGATTTAAGAAATCTATTTAGTCAATTTGGGACTGTGGTCAGTTCACGAGTATTACATGATCGTAAATCTGGAAAGAATCGTGTGTATGGGTTTGTTTCCGTTTCTTCGTCTGTGGAACTTGAGAATGCCATATCTTTGGATGGAACAGTTAAGTGCATTTTCCATTGTTTGAGCTTGATGCATTGGGCCACTTTTGTACTCCTAATGATTCTCATTGCTCATTAATTTCTTATGTTTCTTATGCAGGATTTTTGTGGGAGGAAGCTACTAGTTAGAGAAGTGTTGAATTATAATAAACCTTGATCATCACATCAATGTCTTTTGTTTAATAGTCATAACCGTACTGAAAGAAGATATATGAGATACCATGGCAAATCTCATTTTCACAGCAGCGGAAGGAGAAATGAACAGGTATCAGCAACATTTTGTATTATCTGTTTTGTACTTGTCGAGCCATTTTGGGCGCTGAGGAGACATAATTTGTGATGAATCGTGTTGAATAATTTGATTGCAGCTCTTTCATTCTTAAAGATCTGAGAATTTCATCAAGAGTATATCATTATGTCAGAGATTGTTTGCACTACAGACTGGTTTCCTACAATTCAATTATTTCAAGAATACAAAAAATTAGCAGTAGCTTAATGCTTTAATCCATAAGAGCAGAACAATAATCAATTTGTAGCAATTATTTAAAATGGATTAATCATTAATGTTAGTATGAGTGACTATTTGAAATAACAATGCTAGTCATGACCAAATACTTCCCTATCAAGGTCTCTGGATCCCCTCTCAAAGGGGGGTCCTTCTGTTAGAGAGAGAGCATTTCCATTTATAGAATATTGGCAAAATTTTAAAAGCAAACCTTTTCCAAAGGAATTTACTCAAGAATGGATGTTTCAATTTTTCCTGTAAAATGGACATGGAATTATAACAAAATGTTTACACTTCTATACTATCTATCTCTTCTCTCTCTGTCAAAACAATTATGAATTGGGGAAGTTGGAAGCCAGAAAGACATTTATTTGAAGTCAAACTTTAGAGTAAACCTCCTGATCTTAAACATATATAAATTCTATGCTGTGTTAGAAGGAAAGATTCACGTTGATATTCTAGATGAGCAATGCAGACTGCAGAGTGTCTTTGGAATTGTTAAGGCATCATTAAATAATGTCAAGTGTGTAATGGGTACATAAGCTAGCCTAAAGATGTGATTGCATGTCTCTTGTAAGAGGCGGCTTAATATGAAGTCATCGCATTACTGTTATAGAAGCAATTAAATTTTCATTACCGTTGTGTAAATAAATTTCAAGAGACAGCAGTAACGAGTTCATGTCGTTCATGTCATAGTTAATCCCAATTTTTTCCTGTTAATTTTTTATTTATTATGAATGTATAGTTAAGTCAAACAATAATCTTCTCAGTTTCCTATAAATTACTCTAATGGATAGGGACAAATAAGACCCAACTTATTTAACTTTATAAAAGAGGGAAACATGCTTCTAAGGATATAACTTTCATTTGGAAGTTGGAACTAGTTAGAAGAAGGTGCATTGCTAAGGGTGGCTGCTGTTTTCGGAGAGTTTTTGGGTCTTATTCACCCCTGTACATCTCCACAAAAACCTTATTTTTCAGAAAATGTGGAGAAAAAGATTTTTGGTTGGATCTACTCATAGGTTTACTTTCTCACTCTCACACTGTTTTCTTGCTACTTTTAGCAGTGAGTTCTAGAGACTTTGTGTTTGACATCACTACCATATCCTCTAATTCACATCATCCGCTTTCAGCTGCATATTATTTGAAATGCATGTTTGAACGTGTGTCATCTCTTTTCTTAATTTCATCACTAGTTTAAGTGGTCAGTTTTAGTACCAAATAATCTAATATGGTGAGGAAACTAATTAGCTCTGATTGGGGGTTATAATTTGTGATCAGGAGAGAGATTCTTTGGCTTCCATATGAACTCCCGTATCCAATATCATTTGCAATGAAATGATTCAAAATTTTATAGTTTTATTTTGTATATCGGCAGTACAATGTGGGGGAGGGGAGGAGGGGGGGTGGGGAGAGAGAGAGAGAATACATTGAATTTATGAGATGTGGGTTGTTGGTAGTGGTTTTGTCTTTGAATTCAAGTTTTAAATTCGTCTTTGAGTTTTGGACCACTAAAGCTCGTCAAATTGCTGATTTGAAACATAGAAAATTAAGCGATTTAATTAACTGCTACTCGACTGAATCTGTATCAAGATTTATTCATATGATAGGACAGCTATTTAATTCCATTTCTAATGTGCTTAGGTACTAGTTTAAATTTATGCCTTCTGCCTTATCTAATCTAGTCGTCTGCTAATTTGGTCTCTCTCTCTCTCTCTCTCCATGTGGAGGTGTGATGTAATCATGTAAAATGTTCAAGCTTTGAATTAAAATGATAACGAAAAGTGCATACTGTTAATTAGGAGTGAATTAAAGGTAAAAGAATGGAGTACTGAACAAGAGAGAGACAAGGCTTTTTAGTTGATTCCCTTTTTAGTGTATATTAGACGATTTGACATGGCAATAGACTAAATTTTAGGCGAGTGCTGTAGGCGAAAATCGAATAACTTCATTAGAGAAACCCGATTCTTCTTTCTATTTCCTTCTGTCTTTTGTTCTAGACATACACTTGTCCCTCTTATTATTCTTCGATCCCATTAATCTTACCTATATAACACCCATTTTCCATGGTTGAACCAAGTCAAGCCCATCCCCCAGAAGCATCACCCAAAATGACCAAAGATGATCCAAAAAAGCAACCACAACCACGTCACACATTTGCATCTCGATATATGATCAGAGATCAACACCGAGCCCTCTCAACCTTCGTTATCATCTTTCTGGTGTTAGCAGGAATAACCGCCCTTATAGTTTGGTTAGTTAATTGTCCACATGACCCGAAGTTCAAAGTTGTGAGTTTGGCCATTTATGGTCTTAACTTCACCTCCCCACCTTACGTGTCCACCACCATGCAATTCACTGTGGTCACTAGGAACCCTAATAAGAGAGTCTCCTTTTACTATGACCAGTTATCTGCATTTGTTTCTTACAAAAACCAGGTCATAACTCCTCCACTGAGTCTGCCACCTTTGTATCACGACTCAAAGAGCACGGTGGCTCTGTCACCAGTGCTGGGTGGTGGTGCGGTGCCGGTGTCGGTTGAGGTGGCCAACGGGTTAATGATGGATCAGTCTTATGGGGTGGTGAATTTGAAGCTAATCTTGATTGGGAAGGTGAGGTACAAGGGTGGAGCCACAAGGACTAGGCATCATGGAGTGCATGTGAGTTGTGATGTTTTTGCAGGCTTCAAGAAGGGATTTACAGGTCAAGTGCCTTTGCTTGGATCATCTGAATGCCAAGTTGATGCATAATCATCGTCATCTTATAATTAATTATTAATTATGCATATTTTAATCATTTTATGCTCTTTTACCATTTTAATTTTGAGTGACGATGCTAAATTTTCAATATATTATATCTAAATAAACTTTTGAGTTTCAAAATTCATGATGGTTCTATCAAAATTTTTTTTTGGAGAATTGCAGCAGGGTTCCCAACCCTTCAAAACGTTGCAGACCTCAAACCTTTAATAATGATGGCAGATGGAGGACACTTGGACGGAATCCGACCATTCATATGTTGTTGACCAATAAATTCAATTTTTTACTCATTTTGACCATTTAAGTGGAGCAAAATGGTCAAATTACTATTAAAAAAAAACAGTTTGATTTTAAAGAGAATCGAATCAAACTAAAATTTTTGGGTATTTAATAAGTGAAATTATCGTCGTTCGATTTTCATTCGGTTTCGTACCTTAATTAATTTTTTTGAACATTTACAACAATAATACGTTAATTCAATTAATAACATTTTTTACCTTAGCTTTTACAACAACACTATATTAATTATTACAAAATAACGTAGATCAATTTAAAAATATATTAATAGCAAGTTGTCTAATAAGATTCATTCACCATTGTATACAAATTATCTTGATCAAAGTGGAGAAAGTTCAATAAATATGACAGGAAATGATAAGATGAAGAGAGGTATAGCAGTTCTGCTTCGATTATTTGAAAAATGTCATTGAGAAAAACTTGAATCACTCAACTTTGAAATTTGAATTACAAATTTGATTAAAAATCATCAGGAGGAAGCATAGAATCTTTTCTCACTTGTTTGGTAAAGTCAAAGTGATGAGCACGTGGACATAGACGTCGGGTTGGAAAAAAAAACTGAGCCCTGTTTGGTATTGAGTAAAATTTTGATTTTAATTTAAGTTAAAATCAACAATTAATTTTCACTACATATTTTATGGGATCCACAACTTTTCAACCACCCATTTCATTAATTTTTTTATTAAAATTTACTAAAAATCTAATTTTAATCAATATCAAACAAGAGATAAATATTGAGCACTAATCAAATTGGCCATTACAAATTTGGTTACTTGATGCCCTAGTTTGTTTGTGATAACCTTCAATGTAATAATCAAGTAGATCGCTATGAAGGTTACTCATCATATATATTCACTTAGATGATATCTTGTGGGGATTAAAATTAGATATTTAGTAGATTGTGATAAAAGTTTTTGAAATGTATGATTGAAAAGATGTTAGATCCATGAAAAATATAGTTAATATTAATTGTTTGACTTTGACTTGAATTAAAATTTGATTTTAATCCGGCTCAAACAAGCCCTTAGGGTTTAAAGGGGTCAGAAATTTAAACCTTAAGTCTTAAATTTTAATGCCCACTAAAACTTTACTCTATAAACAGCTTAAATAATTTATAAAAGATATTGACAAAATATTTTTGAACATTTAAATAAATTTAGCCCTTGTTTGGTCCCCATTTTGGAGTGTTAAAATTTTTTGAAAAAGTGATTAATGAGAGAATGTGTGGTAGAAAAGTAATGAAAAATTTTAGATTTGTGTGTAATATTATTTTATTTGATGAATGTGTAGTTGAAACGAAGAGAGAAAAAATTAATATAATGTAATGGGAAAAAATGGGGGCCAAACAGGGGCTACGATAATTCCAAGGAGAGAATACTGTGCTTGACACTGATTCTACAAAAATCAATAAATGGAGCCCACTGTTGATCAATAATCTATCAATGTGTACGTACTAGTAGACATTTTTTTTTTTAGTGTAGGCTAATCCAATAACGTTTCATTATGTCTTTTTGTTTACTCGATAAATGTATTTTATACTCTTATTTGGATATTAAAATGTCAATATTTGGTACTTCTTTTAACAAAATATATCTTAAATTGTTGTATTTTATATTATATAGATAAAACTCAATGGTTGAACGAAGAATCGAAATAAAGAAGCGAAAAATGGTGAAAAAGGCAAAATCCAAAATTTGAGGATCAATCTGTAAATATTCAATAGTTGATTCGGATTAGAACTCAAAAAGGAATAGAATATGATCAAAATATTATCAAAATTAATTTACAATCGTACAATTTTATATTCCAGATTTTTAGTCAAATATTGAGACACTGTTGCGTTTTTTATATTACAAGTATACAATATCGTAACAAGTAATATATTGGACATTTGAGTCCGGATTATCGTTCTCACGAGAACTATATTTTAGGATTCAATTAAATTTTTCTAACTCCTATTTAATGAAAGTAAATAAAGATTTATGCATTGATGTGAATTTTTGATTTAAACAATTTAACTTAATTAAAATGCACACAAAAATTTGTTGAGATTTCAAATAATGGATGGAAATTAGGGATGAACAATTTCACATATTGATCACCTTTAACTCATAATCCAAGATTCAAGAGTCTAATGTAGTGTTGGATCAAATTCTTCAATATTATTTAATTTACACCTTTCGAATTCTCATTGAACCTATTTAACTATTTCAATCACATATCTCTATGCGAATCTACCTTAATTCAATGAAATATTAGTTCTAAGAATTCATGTATGATCGCAATATTTAGCATATGTATCTCTACACGTTATACTAAATTATCGAATTTTACTATATGGTCTAAATTTCAAACTCACCTCTCGCTTCATAAAAGATCCATAAAGTCATCAAATTAGTGATCAAATAACTTAATGCATTGAACTCATAAGAAAATCAACACATGAACAATAAAATATCAAGAATCTTGAATAAAAGACATAAATGTTTTCAAGTTGATTACATTGTTTGCCATAATATAAAGTTTAGCTATTCATACTAAATGAAGAAGAAAAATTAAAAGCTGATATTGAGTACATCACCGAATTTTGAATATAGATGTAGAAAAAGAAATAAAGTTTGCACCAAGATCTTTTTCTTCTTCTTCCAATCAATATTTCAAAACTTGAATTTCTTGATGTTTTCCTCCTTTGAATTGTGCTCTTAATCTCTTGTTGTATCTTTATTTTCTCAATGGGAACCCCTAAAATTTCCTCTCTTTTTTTCTATTTTATACTCCCCTACACGGTTTTTCAAAAATTGGAGTCTTTCTAAACTTTTTGCGGGCCTAAACAGCATAACCCTAAAACAAGCAGCGCGATGCCTAAACTCTCGGAGGAAGCGCCTAGGCGCCTCGTTTCCTTCCTGTGTAGCGCCTAAGCGCTATGAGTGCAACGCCTCTAAAAAAAGGCGTCTTTCGGGTAAACATAGCGTTTGAGCACTAACTCGTTGTTTCAAACTCCGCATCTTCTTTAGTATTTTTGTCATAACCCTTTCTCCCAATATTCGATTAAGGCGATTCAAAATACGTTGGAAAGATAACTCAAAGAACTACAACTTTAGTAGAAACAGCTCTTTTCCAATTCGAACGTTTACTTGGCAAAAAATGGGTCTCAATATCCAACTAAAAATCTGGACATCCTTTTCTTCTTCATCCCCTTGTATTCTTACTTATTTTTTATGACATTGAGGACAAAGCCAGTTTTAAGTTTGGAGGTGAAAAAAGCTTTGAGTTTTTGAGTGTTTGTGTATTTATTTTTCGCTATTACTTTAGTATAAGAAAAATACAAAAAAATTGAAAAATATCAACCAAAAAAACTTTAAAAAATAAATATAAATATTTTTTTGTTTTAGGTTGTATGTTTGTGTGTGTTAGATAACCTAACTTGCAATGATGATTATATTTGAAATTTGGTATTGATTTATGAACTGTAGATAGAATGCATGCTAAACTAATTGAGACTTAATCTTGCAAAACTTGATATTATGCGCGCATTAGAATTGAGTTTTTTTTATCACGATGCAATAAGTTGATTCATATACTGGATATGTTCATAGATCGATCATAGACGATATACCTAAAATTATCCTATATTAATGATCCTTAAACCAAATTTAGCATAGTTTGGGGATGATTTTACGGTTGTAGGAAGATACGGATGTGAATGGGGATTTCTTGTATGAAAAATTATGTGTGGATTGTCTTAGATTAATATGATAAAATTGGACAAAAGACTTAAGTAAAATGTTGGTTTGATTAGATATGTGTTTAATGGGGGGTATTGCACTAATCAATTTAGAAAAATATATAAAAGACATATTTTCGTAACTTTTATGACTCGAGTTATTAAGAATGTTAGGGTATTTACAACTTAATGCCCTAAAATCGTTTGATTTGGGAGTCATTGACCAAAAACTCGTTACACGAGTCATATAAAAAGTTGAAGAGAGAGTGTGTGCAAAAAATAAAAATAAAAAGCATGTGTATGAAACAGAAGACGTACCAAATACCCTGCTTAAGCCTCAAACACTTATTTAAAAAGACTTGATTTTTATGATAGATTATTAGCCTAGTAGTCCTATATGTTGAAGCAATCAAAGAATTGGAGAATCTTTGTTTATTGATGTGTTGACTTACAATTAGTAGAGTCTACCTAAACTAGAGATGGTGATGATAATAATGAAAAATTCAACATTAGATTGCACACTATAAAAGGAGTAAAAAGAATAAATTTGGTACTGTGTGAATCATACGAGAAGTGAAATAATATCTTTAACCACAGAGGGTCGGGAATTGAAGCAATCTGTAAATTCATGATTGTCGACTACTTCTTCACACACATGTCAGTTTTTTATTGGAAGAGTGGATATTGGTTTGGAATTGTGACTTTTGAACAATTCGTAGATTTGGTACTGTAATTTCAAATACTAAAATAAAAAACTAGATTGTATAACCAAATATTTTTGCATGCTTGTGTGTTTGTTGTTATTTAGGTTATAATTTTGTTTGAAAACAAATAAACATATAAGCTTGAGGGTATTTGATAAGTATATTTTATACACTTATTTGAGGTTCTAAAATATTGATATTTGATAGTTATTTTGACAAAATATGTCTTAAACTGTTGTATTTTATATTATATAGGTAAAACTCAATGGTTGAACGAATAATCGAAAGAAAGAATCGAAAAATGGTGAAAATGGCAAAATTCAAAGTTTGAGGACCCATTTGAAAATATTCAATAGTTGATTCGGACCACAAAATGATACTTCAAAAATTGCTAGGAGACAAATATATGGAATTAGAACCCAAAAATTAATGGAATATGATGAAAATATTATCAAAATCAATTTACAATCGTACAAGTTATATTTTAGATTTTGAATATTGAGACTCATTTTTGGCATGGTAAATGTTTGAATTGGAAAAGTTATTTCTATAAAAATTGTAGCCCTTTGAGCTAGCTTTCCAACACAGTTTGAATCACCTCAATCAGATATCAATTTGGACGTGATTTTCAACCGATTTTCTACTTATATAAATACCTAACAACAGAATACATAGTGAGGACATCTTATATACATATTATACTCCAATATTCATCAATTATTATCATCAAATGGGGAAAATTTATAATTTTGTGAGATAATTGAAGGGAGTTTCAATATCTTAACAATGCATATCACATATTTGAAAAACATATTTACTTACTTTCATTAGTTTAATTGATAATTTAAGTATTAGTATAGAAAAAAATTACAAAATTTGTTTGTTATTCGATTAAAATTGCAATTAATTTTAACTCGATGAAACACATAATTCTCGTGGGTTCGACGCTTTATTTACTACTATATTATTTATTCATGATCCCGTTGACTTGCGAATTTTCAAAGGATGGTTACCATTCAGCTGTCTAATAATTTGTCATAATACTTGACTGAAATTTATTTGTTTTGATTTGCAAAATAGGATTCTATCTTATTGAACCAAACTAGAAGGTCAAGGCTTGTGTCCAACCCTCACTTCGGATTAAGGGTGAAATTTTAGTTAAAAAAAACAAAAGAAATTAAATTTAAATATAATGGCTCGTTCGGAACAAGTCCAAACAGGTTTCTTTAGCTAGCCCTCTGTTCCAAAATTTCTGGTAGTATTCGCCATAAGTAAAGCTTGTGTATAGACATGGATGATCTTCATCAATCAATTCCGAGGCTGGCGCAATTAAGGCTTCGGGGGACGGGCAATAGAATGTCGGAATCGAAATTCTCTCCATGTAACTATTCACAACTGCCCTGTGAAGCACACTTTTGTAACGATCATTGCTTAGTACTTGTATTTGATCCCCAATGTTAACAATGAACGTGTGCGGAATGGGATTTACAGCAAGCCATTTGCCATTGTTGAGAACTTGCAATCCGGGGACGTCGTCTTGTAGAAGGATTGTGATTACATTTGGGTCGGCATGGCCTGGTAGACCGTAAGTTAACTCTGGTTGAGGACATCGTGGATAGTAATTCAACGCCACGTGTTGCCCATGCTGGCCTATAGCGCGATTTATGTAATCTCGTTCCAATCCCAAACTCTTGGATATGGCTTCGAGTAATCTCAGGGCTACTTCTCTAACGGGTTTACAAAATTCAGCCACATCATCCCTGAATAAAAAATTATCAATCATGTTACATGTACATCTTGTTTTCTATTAATTTTGACATCGTACCACATTTTGGCAGATGATTGGACAATTTAAAAAAAATGCTTTTCCACCCAACACCTTTTGAATTCCTACACAATGTCAAAAAAAAATTTGTACACCATGAAATGTACACTTACAGCTTGTTTGTCTCCCATTATTGGGAGAAAATTAGTGTAATGAATAGTATTTTTTGGAGAATGTGTGGTTGAAAATTAAAGTAATTTTATCGGTTTGTGTGTAGAATATTTTATTGGGTAAATGTGTGGTGGAGAATCTTACTGTAGCAAACAATTTTTTGAAATAATGGTAGACAAACAGGGGCTTAATGTCATTGGAAAATTAATTTTTACCAATATCTTTCCTAGCTTACCCCTATATAATTTTCATAGAAAATTAGTGTAATGAATAGTATTTTCTGGAGAATGAGTGGTTGAAAATTAAAGTAACTTTATTGATTTGTGTGTAGAATATTTTATTGGGTGAATGTGTGGTGGAGAATCTTACTGTAGCAAACAATTTTTTGAATTAATGGTAGACAAACAGGGGCTTAGCATAATTCAAAAATTATTCGTTGAACCATTTGATATAAATTGCAAGATGTTATCAAATGTATTTCATTTCAATATTGTCATCCTAACTAATTCACATACTAAGTAGACTGTGCTACACCTCATTTGGCCACCAGGTTCAACAAGAAGTGTTAAGAGTTAATTCATAGCTTAGCGATAATTCCAGTACCTCCTGTTTCCATTCTGTTAGAAGTCGACTGCAGAAATTGTCCAGCTATACATTCTAGAATATTCTTTATATTTTACATTTTCCCATTGTTCTCAATTGTGAAGTGTATATATACATTCAGCTCCGATACCAAGTTTAATTTCTGTAAAATCGAACTGAACTCGTCCATGAATACAGACCTGAAAGATGTTGGAGAGGAAGGCCATTCGTGCAAATAGTCCTCGAGAGGATAACAGTGGAGTCTCAAGAAGTCCCTCCAGTTCGATACCTTTTCGGTCTTAACATTGAAACTGGTTGACAGTCTGGTAGTCTTGGAAGGATCGTCCGAATAACTTTTCAATCTTTCACTTTGTGGCATACTGAAGAATTCCCTCGAAACCTGCATCATTTTGTGGATCACTTCAACTGGTATTCCATGGTTTTTCACCTGAAATGCACAAGATAATGTTTACACGCTGATCTTACAATTACTTTATTCTACTAGTACGTACCTGGAAGAAACCGTAGTCTTCGCAAGCTCGGCCTATTTGTTGAGAAACGTCATTGGAACCGGTAACATCATGGAGATCAACGAGAGGAATAGAGGCATCAATTGAGCCGACCTTATCAAGATTTGGACGGTCGGTGATTGGTCTGATGTAGTTAGAAGGGACGCGATTGATATTGGAAGCAACGTCGAGTAATAGTACTTTCTCTGAACCCATAGCCATAGCCATAACCATTAAATTTAAACTTGAGGGAGAGAGAGTGATTAGATAAAGATCAGATGGTATTGGTTTTGAATAAACAATGCATGTGATTTATAAGGAAAATGTACCCTTTCTTTTTCGATTTTTTTAAAATAGAAATTTATTGCGTTGGTTGGGTAAGATAGAAGCCACGGTGATGTCATGTAATTCATATTTATCTCTCTCCAATTAAGCACAGATCAACTTTGTAGCTGTAGTCGTGTTGATACAGAACATGTGATTTGATTTTATTGAAGGTACTGCACATCTAGATTGATTTAATAATGGAAAATTCAACAATTAATATTGAGAATATATGAAATACAAACAAAACTCAGAATTGTTGAATTTGATGAGGAGATTTTTTTTTAGCCAATCAACCACACTAAGAGCGTGTTTGATTGATATGGAAAATATATCTTAGAAAAGAAAATATTTTCCTTGTTTTGAGGAAAACAAAAACTTACTACTTTCAAAGAAAATGTTTTCCTTAAAGATATGGTAAATTAAGCATATTTTTAAAAGTTAAAAAATATTTTTCATGGAAAAAAATAGCAATCAAATACTTCAAAGTATGAATTTGGATGAAAAACTGAAATTTTCCATAACAAATAAATGCAATCAAACACACTCTAAGGATGTGTTTGGGACACATTCTTTTGAAAGAATGTATTATTGAATAGTAGATTAATGAAGAATATGTGGTTAAAAATGAAAGAAAAGTTATTGATGTGATGAAAAATATTATTTTATTGAAAAATGTGTGATTGTTTTTATTAATAACCAAAGAAAAGGAGTATATAAAAAAATAAAATAAAAAAGGGGGTGGGGGGAGAGAGCTTAACTTCTGTGCGCCTGGATGCATGTTCATTTTTATGATTGTTGACTTACAGCTATAAATTTGATAGCAGTCGATAAGTCGGTCACTGAATTTGCATAGAATAGTGGAATATATGACGCAAGTATAACAAGCATCAAATGACATCACCATGCTGATGTCATCTGTGTACGTACGTACTTGCCGTAATGCTAGAAATTCCAAATATTTTATTTTGTTTCTCAGACTCTGTTTGGTCCACATTATTTTTTTCATTCTCATTCTTCTACTTATTTTTAGCCACACATTCTTTAATAAAATAATATTTTACATCACATCAATAATTTTTCCTTCCTTTTCAATCACATATCTTTCATCACATCAACAGTAAAAATGCATTCTTACCTTCAAAATGTACACCAAACGAGGGCTCATTTCCATTTGCTATGGATCCAATCTCGTCATATAATAAATTAGCCCAAGGTTTCGTTTAATAGTGCCCATCTTAATCAATTAAGATAGATTGACAATAAGTTTGACATTTTTTCACATGACAACAATCTGCATCATTTAGTTTAAATACACGCATCTAATCATTGTCCAGATTCTTTCCACATAGGGAATATCATCCTTGATGTGATGAGAACCAAAAATTGTACATTTTTATAAATTGATTTATATTTTTATCTTTATTCGATGTGAGATTTTATTTCTTAACATGTCCCATGAGATGGTGACTCGTTTGAGCATTTTAAAATTCGTGTGCTCATTTTTTGATTCTCAATCGGATCAATTTGCTCATTGAAGCTTAATAAACTCTGACCATGTTAAGACCATTTAATAACATGTATTCGTTATTGAATATCTTTATTGTTTCAATCGCGCTAGATGTACAGAAATAATCTTCCAGAAAAGCACCAGATGAGTTGGCAACCAATCCATTTTAAAAAAGAAAAAATACAAATGAAGTCAAACCAGCTAACACGTGAATTTAAAACCTCACCTAACCCAAATGACCCCACTAACTTTCCTTCTTTCACTTTACCTTTACCTTTCTCCACTTCTAGCAAGAGAACCAGCTGCGACTTCCCATTAAGTCCCCACACACCCGAAATCGTTATCACTGTAGCCGGTGCTTTTGTCAACGTCACCAACCCAACACATTACCGAATCCGTAGCATTATAGGAAGGTAAGAATTTTTTATTTTGACGAAGATTTGTATTTGACAGTTGAAATGACGAAAATAAGCATTTCATTGAACGAAAAATAAGATTTGTTGGCTGTTTGAAATAGTTTTTTTGGGTAATTTCAAGTTTGGACTTGTAATTAGTGTTTTACGTTTTGTTGAGATTTGTTGGCTGTTTGAAATTTTGAGGATGCAGTCGTGAATGTTTCTAAGATTTTGGATTCATGACCTGATGATAACATGAACTTGTAACTGGTGTTTGTTTCCCATGTAGGATGAGGGGCAGGAATTATGGTGTTTGTCACAGTTGTAGAAGCACATATCACTCGTTCGAACAGTGCAATAGCAAACGCCGTTGTCCGTGGTGTGTAGATGATATCCAGAAATGTTTCGAGGCTGAAAAGGAGGGCAAAAAAAAGGACGTCTATTCAAAACTTGTAGTGTTGATTGTGGATTCTTTGACTGGGTAAAAGCTAATGAAGCAAGCGGAGGGTCAAGTACTAACAATGAGTGTTAAAATCGACTTTGGTATGTTTGATAAGCCAATGAACAGAGAAGATAGTATACGTCACTTACTTTGATTTTCTGAATGGTTGGTTGAAGACTGGTCACTGCCGAATCTCGTCAAATGCCTTCCGTCGAGGATTTGATTTGTCGGGTTGGAAGAATCCATTTTGCAATGCCCAAACTTCCAGCTCCGTGGAGACGAATGGTAGGAATGAAGGAGCTTTGGGCGGCGGAAACGGTAGTAAATGGACTCTTTCCCCTTTTTCATTAGGTCAGTTTCCCACTCATTTTTTTCAATTTATTTGCAAATGAAAAAACAAAGTGCCACGTCATTATTTTTTTGAATTTCTGGCGTTTCTGGTGTATAGTAATCTGTACATAAGGCATTTTTCTTATTGTTTTATAGTAATTATATCTAATATTGGATATCTTTATGTGTCCACAAGTCTATGTGAACATCTTTATTAGTTATCAATAATTGTAATCTACACCCTTATTTAGGTCATCAAATAAGAATATACGGGAGTACCTTTGATGAATTATATTTTAATCCTGTATATTTATTATTTGATATGTGAAACTCAATGAATTGAATTGAAGTGAAATTGAAAGAAGGAAACGAAAATCGACGAAAAATGATGATTTTCAAAGTTTGAGAACCGAAGTGTCAAAAATAAAAAATAAAAAAATTCTACCTTTCACACGCGTGCACAATGGCTTTTTTTTTTCACATCCGAGGTTGATTTCACTTGCCCGTGCATTGGCAAGCAAATATACCATACATGGGCATGGGGTTATTCCGTTCAAACAAGACCAACTTTCCTTTTGTGATCCTAACTCTTTTGGAACCCATTTCGCGTTTCTCAAACTAATTTCAAAACTTATATATACAGAATAATGACTAAGCATTAAGGGATATCTCTTTAGTCTCTCATACCATATCATATCGTAAAATCCATCAATAAAAAGATGCAAATTCATCGTATTTTGAAGAGAATATCACACCTAGCAAAAAGTTAAATGCTAATTACATAAAAAAACTTGAAGATTTAGGGGCCGTTCTCTTCGTGTTTCAGTTTTGTGTTTTGTGTTTTGAATTTGTTTTGTGTTTTGTGTTTTGAGTGTCTGTTTTGAAATTTTTGAAAATGCGTTCTTTTTGCCATTCTGAAAAACAGTTTCCGAAAACATAAAAATGGAAAACGCGTTTACTTTGAAATTTTGAGAATTTTTTTAATAATATTTTATTCAAAAAAACTGATTATTCAATAAATTGTAATTGTTTAATGTAAGCCCCCATTTGACACACATTTTCTTCTCATTCTCATTCTCATTTTTTTTCTCTTTCTTCATTTCAACCACACATTCTATTAATAAAATAATACTACACAGAAACCCAAAAATTCTCATTACTTTTTAACTACACATTCTTCCATCAATCACTATTTCAAAATTCATTTTTTCTCCAAAATGGGTGTCAAACAGGGAGTAAATATAATATTAAATAACATATACATTTGAAAAATGGTGAAGCGTATAATTTTTTTTCAAGATATTAAAAACACAACATAAATTACATTTGATGAAACAGTTCAATCGATACAATTAGAAATTTACGTGTCATGACAACATAAGCAGATACTGAACTACATACAAAATAAATCAACGAAGCCATGTACGACGTCTTGAGTAGTCATTCCACATTTGTGTCGCAATTTGATCTCTAACTTGTCCCATTTGAGCTGTTTGACTAGCATCAAAATGTATGGCTTCTTGTGCTTGACTTGACTCCGGTATATCATCGAACACCATATTCTCCTCTGAATACTCAGCGAACAATCTATCTAAAGCGTGCTCCTGGCGAATAAAGTTGTGTATTGCGCAACATGCAGTAGGTATTTGTCTTTGTCTACTAAGAGGATAATTGGTGATCAATTTCAAAATAGGAAATCTTGCCTTTAAAACTCCAATGCAACGTTCAATAATGTTACGACACGAGGAGTGTCGATAGTTGAACAATTCTTCCTTCCCACGTAGTCTTCCCCGTCCAACATAGTCACGCAGATGATATCTTTGACCTCGATAAGGGGCAAGAAACCCAGGCATGTTTGGGTAGCCAGAATCAACAAGGTAAAATTGATCTACATTAAAATAAAAAAAACTCACATAGTGTAATACTATAGATACATTTGTGTTAAGTATTTGTAGTGCAAGAATATACCTCCCCGTGGCATTGGAAAGTTGTTCGATCTTCTTGTAACTGCGTCAACGAATACTCGCGAATCATTAGCAGTGCCTTCCCAACCGGAATACACAAATGTGAATTTCATATCGAAATCACATGTTAACATCACATTTTGTGTTACATTTGTTTTCCTTCCACGAAAAGATGTTTGTCTCGATGCAGGTGCCCATGCTGCGACATGTGTTCCATCTATTGCGCCTATACAATCCTTAAAGAAAGGATATTTTTGCAAAATCCGTTC